AATAAAGCCTTGTGAGGATCAGAAGTGTTCCTCAGTCTCCTCTCTGCCGCTTGGTATTTGAAAAGGTAGCTATGGGGCTTCAAGGAGGTAAGAGTGAGCGTCACTAGCGTGAGTTAGCAGCGGAGTGTTCTTTTTAAATAGAAATTTTACTTTTAAGCCAATTTTTTCTAAAAATCACCATTCCTATAAGTGACCTAAGTGACAGAGTATGAAATAAATAATCAAAGCATAGTTTTTGAGTAGGAGGCAGAATATCCTAACTGGCGCGCGCGCGCACACACACACACACACACACACACACAAATGTGTAGGAAGAGACAACTCCCAAAAATTGCCCTTGTGAGTCCAAACCAGAAAAGTAAAGACAGACTTTTAAGAGCCAGTTAAAAATTCCTCATCATGGTTTCAGGATAGTTGAAGATATTGGCACTGCAGTGAGCTCTCAAGTTTCATTCTGTGTGTGTGTGTGCAAGTGTGTATGTACATGTATGTGTGTATGTAAATGTGTGTGTGCACATACATGCGTGAGATTGTACAGATGTATACAAGTATACACTATGGATGGTACATGTGTGTATTAGTGTGTGCATATACTTGTGTGAGTGTGTGTGCATACCTTGTGTACATATTTGTGTGTGCATGCACATGTACATACATATATGTATATTTGTGTATGTAAGTATGTGTGTATAACATATGTGCCATGGTTTGAGTGTGGAGGCCATTGATAAACCTTGGCTGTTGGGGCTTACCTCTCACCTTGTTTGAAACCAGGTCTTCTGTTAACCTTTCCATGTAACAGGTGAGCTGGCCCACAGCTTCCACAGAGTTTCCTGCTTTCCATTTCCTTGGAGCACTGGAATTGCAGATTTGAGATACTGTGTTTGGCTCTAGTTGGCTTCTGGGAATTCAAACTCAAGGTATCAGGCTTGTGTGGCAAATGCTTTAACCACGGAGCCATCTCCTCAGGATTCACTCTTTCCACAACTGGACTGTTAACTGATACTGCTAAAGATTTCTTCCTCTCCCTTAATGAATGATTGGAAAGCAGAGATGTGTGATTATGGGGAAACTTCTCTTCAAAACTCCCCTTTAGCCTTCAAGCCAATGAATTCTAAATGCTCTGAAGGAAATTGATTAAACCATACTGGATGATAAAAAGAAGAACAAGAAGAAGCTTATAGGAACAGGCCAACTGTGACCCTTTTTTGAAGGGAAAATGCATTAGTAAGTTAGATTCTATCACAAACCCGACTCTCAGGAAATATCTGAAAGCCTTTCCAGAAATCTATAAAGACTGACATGACTCCTGTTGATACATGTGTGAGGCTCATTAGTAAACTGGTTCAAAAGCTAGTGACAAATGTGTTTTTATAATGCTATTTGGGACCCTATATATGTGAGAAAATACATTTTAGAAACAAGATAATGGTGGGCAGAGATTTTTTTTAATATGATTGTAGAAACATCAGGGATACAGGGTCAGGTGTGCATGCAACCTCGAGAGCATGTGTGTGTCCACACATAACACACACACGGGGAGGGAGGAGGGAGAAAGAGAGAGCAAGCGAGTGAGAGAGCTGTAATACAGGATCTCTTATCTTTAGGATTGACACTGAGGACAGGGTGACTCTTATTCTTGGGGTTAGTCTACGATTTGTGGAATATTTAGCAATGGCCCTTCTGAGTGATAATAGTATTCCCTTGACAGTTCTTGCAGACCAAGAGATGTCCCCAGACATTGCAACATATCCACCAGAGATATTTAATAAAAAAGAAACAGTATTATTATGTATTGCCTGATCTCTACATCTCATTCTGTTGCCTTTTGTATGAGAACCTCTAGCCCTAGACAGACCTATGATCAGTCACTGTCTTTCTTAGTCTCAGCCTTCCCATTGGTTTCCCTTGTAGAGTGATGAGAGTCCTCCTTTCTGATAACTCTCAGGATGGACCACATCCTGGTTATTGTAAAGAGTACAATAACCTGGGGTAATTTTGAAATTCTGACACTCAGGGTGATGGCTTTAGAAGACAGCCTTTTTAGGAAGTTCTGAGATCAAGAACATGAAGACCTCTTGAAAAGATGGGGTTGTGCACGCCTGCCATCACTTGGGGATTTAAGGCAAAGAACTGTGAGTTTGAACGCGTCCTGGGCTACATAGTGAGACCCTCCCAGACAGACAGAGACAGATACAGAGAGACAGACCTGGCAGACGCTTCCTGCCTCTTCAGCTATGAGAGAATGAAGTAAGGATATCTGTGACAGAGAGAGCAGACCCTCGACTGATGAGGAATCTGGAGCTCCTCTGCCTCTGGAACTGTAGAAAAAAAAAACAACTCAGGATTCATAACTGTCTAGTTCATAGTACTTTAGTTGAGGCAGCCTGGATGAACTGAGAACACTTTACAAAGCCTGAATCGTAGTCAGTGGGGTTACATCTTTTATCTTGACTTTTGCCCAGAACAGAATTCTGATATACACTGTTGAGTAAACATTTGCCAAAGAAAAGTCATTGTTTCTTTGTAACCTAATTATTTCAGGCATCTATAAGTATCTATAGAGGTTGTATCTAGAGGTTCACCTAGGACCCATGGGCTTCAAATGCAAACTCTTCAAGCTAAATTGCACCGTGAAGTAGCTGCAAGTAGCAATATGGAAGCATTGTGGGGTGAGAAGCCAAAGTGGAGAGTTCCCATGGACCCTCCTACATTAGGCCTCTGGACTCCAGTGGCTTAGTGAGCTGGGGCTGCAGCAAAAATAGATAAGAAACTCTGAAACTAATAACCAGCTCACAGATGCTAAGAACTGGTCCTTGGCCAAGATTTATACTCTATATGAGGGGCAAACAGTATCTCAAATTGTTTCTAGATAGGATAAGAAGGATTTGTCTGGAGCTAGGTGCTACATATAAAATCTGGGTCAGGCCCCAAAGGCGCCTTTATTCTCTTGCAGAACAAGGGAATGTCCTGTCTTCAATGCTGTCCATTTCACTGCTGTTGAAAAAAATACGGCCAGTTAAAGTTGAATCACCTAAAAGATACACTGAAGATTTTAACCTCTGTGCCACAGAATGTCACCTTACGTGAGAATGGTATCATTTGCAGAAATAAGTAGTTAAAATGGGGTATCTATGGAAGGGTTGGGCCTTCGTCAAACGTGTTTGGCATCCTGTTAAGAGAACAAGCCCAGTAAAAAGATGGCATGTGACAGGAAAGTCAGACTGAAGTGCTGCAGCCAGAAGCCAAGAGCACCTACAAGCCACTCATGGGTAAGAAAGGTTTGCACAGGTTTCAGAGGAAGCATTGTCCTCAGCGTTGTGACTTTCGACACCTCTTTGGTAGTTTGACTTGGTTTGGTTTAGTCTGCTCTATTCTGTCTGGCCTGGTGGTTTGGTTTGGTTTGGTGTGGTTTGGTTTGGTTTGGTTTGGTTTG